TGGGGTTTGCCCTAGGCCTGATAGGTGCCTCCCCCTGGCTCTAATGGTTCTGACCATTAGTGGGTTTTGAAAGGGAAAAATGTAGAAGAAATGAGAAAGAAGCTTGAGAAGGATTACTTACAGGGAGGCAATTTTCAAAGAGGGAACTCGGAGAACAGATGAGTTCTCGGGGGCTGATTGCTGAAGGGAATCTGAGATGCAAAAGTTTTGAGAAGGCATAAGTACCTCCTATTTATACTATTTTGCAAGGAGCAGGAATCAAGAAGTTGAGCCATCATTAGGGAATTTGAAAAGGCGGCGCCAAACATGCAAGTAATTGACGGTATTAATGAGGCGTGTTTATTGAGCCTCCAGTCTCTTTACGCCACTTATCCCACGTCGCAAAAAGAATGGAGGCTGGGGGCAGTTGGCAGGACTCTAGGTGGCTCTACAGCCCCCAGGCTGACACGTGGAAAGATGGAGCCATTTTGATATCCAAAAGGCGCCGAGAAGGAGGTAAGCCGAGATATGGTGTCCCAAATGAGCCGTATATGACAGTTGACACCACATTTAATACGATGTGACCTCTTATTTATGGCGAAATGAGTGATGGTGACAAGACTATTAATGAGCGCCTACATTTTGAGAGTCTAGGCCTACCATCATGATGGCTAGTATGCCGAGTATATACGGTCGGCTCTCTTCGAGGAGCTATTCCCCCGAGTATTCAATGCTCAGTTGCGGGTGTCAGACGTCGATCTGAGGGATGTGAATACTCGAAAAAGGGCATAAATGCTCAGCATGGCGCCGAACACTCGTCCCATCATCCTAGCATTAAGTAGGAGAAGACTTGAGTGGAGAACACTCATTGCGCAAAAAGTGGCGTGTCAGACATTAAATGTCTAGATAGGACTTGAGGTCTTTAGCAATCATTGCTAATCTAGGTATCAATACTCCTCAGAAAAGTGAGCAAAGGTACGCAAGATTGAACTAGAAAAATCTTATTCATTGAGCTTGAACCTCGAATCTTGAGATTGACTTAAGCTTCGGAGGGGATAAGCCGGGTGTTCACCTGACCCCCTTTTTCTGACCCTGTGACTATTTCAGGTTTACCAGGTTAGAGGTCGCTATCTCAAACTATTACAAGAATTATCCCGTGCAGTTTGTTTAGAGCAGGCTTACCATAGTCAAGTTGATAAAAGTTCAAATACAAGATATGGGTTGTGACAAATGCAACCAACGGAGCTGCAACCATTACCCTGGCAGCCTCATCTTTCACACTGAAAACTAGCAGTATAGCCAGGAGAAGGGAATATCCAAAGTAATGCTACACCAGATGAATAGTCCAACTTCTTGGTCAAATCAACATCTCTACAAAATTGCTTTATGGAATAAGACAAGGAGGAGAAACATCAACTAGCAATAAAATGCAAGACATAAAACAAACATGTTGGCTGATTTCATAAATTTCCTATTAGGTTTTGCGAAAAATATGCCAAACTCAGTTTATATCCTACCCGGGCAATTTTGTCAAAGGTTTTTCCTTCTCTCTGTTTAAAACTTGTCCACGCAACCCAATTATTTGATGAACATAACAGTGTACACAATTGCACAACACATCTTGTTCACAAAATCTTCCCTTTCCATTTTTCATATACAGAGCAGTAATAGGGGCACATCTGATGTGAAGTAGCAACAATGTCCTCATAAGGACTGATGCTACTGTACGAAACTGCTTTCATGACAACAAATTGAATGATAAAGAGTCATATATTGGAAAAAGTTTGAGCCAGCTTCCAACTTTATTTCTCTCAATATGGGAATACAACTATCTATAAAGAGATGGAGAGAAGATAGCTTATCGACTGTGGAAAATAGCACGTGCAAATTGTAGTTTACAAGGATGAAGAAGGATACCCAACCATGAAATTGCATAGCAAGTGCTTCAACTTTGATATTGTAAACTCAAACGCAAAATGAGCGAAGTAATATATTTCTTGGAAGACCGAGAACGAACCTTCAAGAAATTGTAACAAGAAAGCAATCACACAAATATTAAAACAAACTTAAATATAAATAATTTGTTTAGGAAATTGTTGAGCAGAGAAAATTGATTTAAATAATTAAAACAGTAATATAAAAAATACTAGAGCATCCCGTCCAGGCCAATGAGACAATAGTCCCCACCCACCCCAATCAACTTATCAGACTCAAACCTTTCTGAATGTCCACATCTCTTGTAAGTAAGTCTAAATTCAATGACATCCCCTCCCAATTCTAAAACTTCACTGTCACCCCTTGTTAGTATTTGTCAGAATGCGATGTTAACGGTGATTGTTGATTTATAAAAATACCCTGAATATTTTATAGGATAAAATTTATCCACACCCCTTGTAAATAAACATAATTTCAACGAAACCCTGTAAATAGATATAACTTCAATGACACCCCCTGTAAATAGACCTATATTTAACAATACCCCTTCCTGATTCTAAAATTTCAGTGCACTCCTTTTTAGTTCTATTATATTAACCTTTAGATTCATCAATTTAATATTTAATTTTATCAAATTAGAACTAAACTAACATTTCATCTCATCAAATCAACACAAATTGATATTTAATTTTATCAAATTAGCATTTATATATATTAATTTAATATTTTATTTCATCAAATTAATATTCTTTCTTTAATTTAATATTAAATTATTATTTAATTTCATCAAATCAACACCAAATTAACATTTAATTTCATTAAATTAAAATTTAATATAATAAATAGAATACTAACTTCTATTAATTTAACATTTAACCTTATCAATTAATGTTAGTTATTTAATTTAACAGCAAATGAACATTCAATTTCATTAAAGCAACATTTAAATTTATTCAATTAGCATTAAATTTTATTAAATTAACAGTGAATTAATATTTAATTTTATCAAATTAAATTAAATAAATATTTAAATTTATTATATTTAGACCAAATTTATTTAATTAATATTAAATTTTATCAAATAATATTTAAATTTTATATATGAAGAATGATGTATAAAAAGTGGTCAGGAGACGTTGTAGAGGATAGACGATAACCAAGAAGTTAAAATTGATGAAATTTTGACATTGACTTTATCGATTGTAATTTTATTATAATTTTTTTTAACTATAAAATAAATTTAAAATCCTGTGATTTATAACGAATAACAAAAAATATACCACAGAGGGAACTTAGGTAATATACGAAAATAAGAAACTGAAAAGTGTACCTCTTACCCAACAACTTATAAGAAAATAGATTTAAAGGTTTAAAAGTCTAACAGGTGTTTTGAATGAAAAAAATTTGCATAAAATTTTTTTAAAAAAATTGCATGAAAAAAATATTAAAAAAAAACTACTTAAATTTTTTAAAAAAAAACTGCAAGAAAAAAAAAATTTTTTTTACCAACTTTGGTAGTGATCGATCACTGTGGAGAACGAATTGAAAAATAATTGCTGACTTTAGTCCCCTATGTCTTCCAGCAACCTTAGATCGTTTTGGACATTTATAAACAACAAAATGTATGGTATATATATAGTAGAAAAGGGATTGAAGGAATTTTAGTATATTTAAATAAGGAATGATAGTTTTGACATTTTCAAAAAATTTATAGTCAAACCGTTAATTTTTGTACTGACAGAGTTAAAAATTACTGTTAAAGGGTATTTTTGATTTGAAAGTATAAATCAAAAGGGAATGCAACAAAGTTTCGGAATCGGAAGGGGATGTTATTTAATTTAGACCTAATTAGAGAGAGTGTGAGTGAAATTTTCCCTAAAAATATTTACAAAGTTATTGGATATATTTAGTGTATATATAATTCATATCTCTAATACTTTGTTTAGAAGGATAAACAGTTGGAATGATGAAAAGTTGAAGGGATAAATAAAACATCATATTTGGTAAGGAAGGAAAATAAAAATGATGGAAAAGTGAATGAATTAACTTTCCTTCCAACTCACCAAAATCAGTCCCTCCAAAATCGGAAGGAAAGTAGATGAAAAATTAATTATTTGTGTTGAGATGTATTTTATTTGTCTATATATCTTTTCATATAGACATATATTATGTATACATTAATTTCATAAAAAAAATGATAAAATATGTATATATATATTTAAAAAAAATTAAAAAATATATATATTTTTTCCTTTTTAACTAGGGGTGAAAATTTTCGACTCAACATGATGTTATGACTCGAACTCAACATAAATTTTATGACACGAATTTGATTATAACTCAACACGAATTTGAAAATGACCTAACACGCGAACAAGAAATATAAAAGACTAATATTCAGTTCAATCAATTAAAATCAAAATTGACACTATCAACCCGCTTATTTAAAAATAAATACTTTCTTTATTTTCTCGTTTGTATAATAATATGAAATTAACACGAAACTAACATGTTTAACTAGTATTATAAACATAAAATATTAATTATTTATAACTATTTATTAAGCACTGACATAATTATTATATATAAAAAAAATTTACTTATTATTATATTTATTTAAGTTAATTTTTAGTTTATAGAAAAAATATTAATATGGATTCAATTAAGTGAAAATAGAATATTAACGTTAAATTTTTTATTCAAAGTTTACGTGGATCAACACGAATACGAACACGAACACGACACGAAAATAACCAGGTTAACTCGCAACTCGACAAGATACAATTAGTTAAATGAGTTAAGTTAGATTTAACCAATATTTGACATAAACCCGTAATTACTCAACACCAATTTAACACAACACGACTCGATTGTCACCTCTAATCTTAACCAACAAAAAAAAAAAAAAATTAGTCATTTGATTGTTCATCTATCCAACCAAACACAAATAAAAAAAATATATATTATCCTACTTTTCTTCTTTAAAAAATAGAAAATGTATACTTGTTACTTCCCGTCCACTGTTTATATCAAACGGAGCAATAGTTTCATGTCTTCTAGAAGTTTATTTAGAAATTTCCTGTTAGCGTATTAGCCAACTGGGGTTTCTCTCCAAAACCCTCCAAGATCAACAGTCTCCAAAACAATTCACTTCTCTATTCGTCGGCTTTTCCAATGCCGGAGACGATCCTCGGTTAAGAGATGCCATCGACTTCGTCCCCGTCGAATCCATCGTCCCGTATAATCTGTCTTGTGTAAGTTCTTTCTTCCAATACCATGTCGCAGTGTTTTCAGATTGCTTAATTCCTTAGTATTCTCGCTTCATTGAATGAGTCTTGTGTAATTTGTTTTTTTTTTTTTGTGCAGACGCGAAAAACAATTCTCGCAATATACTTGCCCTCGGTGCAATATGCGTTATTGTTCCCTTCCATGTTACAAGGTGAGCATGAGTTCATGTGAAATTTCATTTAGGAGGATTGAAATAAAGTAATGCTTTTAGGATCTTAAGGTTGCTAATTAATCACAAACGTCCCTTTGTTCTGTCAATTGCGAATTTAAACTATTGATATATTCAATGTATTTCCCTATCGTCATTACGCGCATAAACATAAATATGAACCGACACAATTGGCATATCATTCTTATGTACTTGCTGGTTTATCAGTTGGCACTTTGTGGCTGACTCATAGTCTTCGCTGCACAGAATCATTTATGAGAGAAAATGTAGTGGAGGAGTTGAGGCAATTGCAACCTGATGATGAAAACAAACAAAAAATGATGGACATATTTAAACGATTCCATTCAGAAGAGGAGATGGATAGTTCAGATGAGGATGGTATGTTTTCTCTCTTGGTTGTTTACATAAAGTATTTATTCCTTCAATTTATGTTGTTGAAACTGCCAATTGTTAATTTCACATTGGGAATTCTCGAAAATTTTATGTGTCTCTTATGGCTTACATGTCCGAGGATTTTATGCTACTTGCCTCTTTTGTCAGTGGTTTCTAAAAATCGATCAACAATCTGGGCGGTAGAAATGAGCTCTGAGACTGAGAAACATTGGTCGCGTTATTATTTCCTTGTTAATGGTGACTTAGTCTCTGTATTTATTATTTCCTTTTGCCAACATGTAACTCCATGTTATGCTAGATTTCATCTCGATTTCCCTGCTCAAATTAGTATTTGGAATTATGGCCATTAATTATGCTATTAACTGGTTCTATATGACCAGGCGAAATGTGGAGCGAAGAAGGGGTTATTTTAAAGAGCAATGCTATGTAACTCAAATTTATATTTCAAATCAATAAGGACCATTGGATCAGTGGTTCCCATTTTAAAAAGATGACGGAACCTTCTCATCCAATGATCCCTTTTCATTTGAGACGTAAATTTGTGTTAAATAGTATTTCCCTATTTTAAAATGAAGGTGTCTCTTGGTTCAAGTCACCAAATCTATGTAGATCATTTCCAAAGATCACAAGTTAAAGAAGATTGATTATCTAACCAATTTGGCCGAAATAACGTTAAGTATGCTTCATAAATAAGACCAACAAGGGAACAACCTCAAAAAACAGATTCCTCTACTTCAGCAGTTAGATGGTCAAATAAATGGAAGATACCAAAGAATGCCATTAAATTTTTTTGTATCTTTTTCACCAGAAAATTGTCTCATTCTTGAAAGTGAATTTCTATCATGGCTACATGTTTTTATTTGTTTGGTAGACTGTAGCGCACTTTTGAAAACTAACTTCATTCATGGCTCCATGAGGACGTCAAATACTATATTACCCCACGAGTCAGCCCGTGAGTGAATTCTTGTTTAATTTTGGTGAACCTTGGAGGACTCGTCTGCATCTATCTACTTGAGGGAATGGGACAGGAGAACATTACCTACTAAAACATTTTGATGGTATGATGATCCCGAATAAGACTTTATTAATCTTCTCTTGTGCTCACTCTAAATTGCTGCGGTACCTTAGAACTAATGATTTTGGTCTAGTTGAGTATTGCTTGACTAAAGAGAAATTGCTTACCTATGCTGTAATTATTTTGAGACAATCGTTTATACAACGAAATTCTTTATTTGTAGAGGTGTTCCTGACCATGCTATAGATTTATTGGTTGTTTTTTGACATATTATGAATCTTTTGTACTACACTGATTGCAATTTGTAGCACCCTGTTCTTTGCAATTCCAATTGCATCAAAAGAGTTCTCATTCTTTCCTTTTTATGTTTGCTCAGAGTCAACTCTGTCAAAGGAGACGACCCAAAAGATTCTGGTTGGTATGTTCAGATATATTCTTTTCCTTTCTTTAGTGGCTAACACGGAGTTTTTCATATTTTGATTGTTGTTTTATGTACTCAATTTTATTGATCCAAGCTAACTTGAGAATATCGGTCTTTTTCTTTATTGGAAATCCAATTAGTCTTGATGATTTATCTGTGGAGGAAAAGAAATGTTTCCAAAGAGCAGTGGCATCTTGAGATTTAAGCAAGCTGATTAAGGCATGGGATCCTTGGTGGTTGAAACTTCCCGCTTGAACAATATCTCTAAGCCAAGAAGGAACCCAACTCGTTAAACCACTTGTCAAGCATAAAATGGTGGTATCACAACAAGATGCTATGTAAAGTGGTCAATTGCATGACATTCCACCTGGCCCAGACACCCCTCTTCCCCCAGTTAGCAAGCTTAACTACACCAAACCATCACCCCTGTTAGCAGTTCACCTAGTTGACATTGTGTCGACCCAAAAATTGGGGTCCTTTGTCAACTCGTTGATTACCCATTAACCTGCGAAATACTTGTGGATACCGTGTAACTCGATATCACGTTGTTATGCCCCATTGCATGTTGTTATATGAGTATGGATAAATGAACCTGGTGTTGTCAATGTTTATTCGTAAATGGTCCTGGTGTAATTAATGTTATGTGCTTGCACATGTTGTGCTTTTTGGTAGAGCTCCCCGTACAAAGGAGACTCTGACCGAATTTTGTTAAATTATGGATCCTGAAAAATTGGGCATAATGGCGTGATATCGAGTTATACGGTATCCACGGGTATTCTGCGGGTTGATGGGTGATCAATGGATTAACAAAAGACCCCCAATTTTTGGGACGTCACAAACATCATATACAGCTACTGTTTCACCCGTCGCCTTTACAATGGAGATTGACAATCAGATGGCTTAGGATCAGCAATGATGGTGTTAAGTATATCTTCTATTCTGGGTAAAGGTGCACAGCCAGAGACACTGTTGGAAGCTCTGTCTCATTGTTTGGAGCAAACTTGCTCTCTAGCTTTTAGACACATGGGTGGCTTGCAATTTGGTTTGGGGCTTATGGATGATGTAATAAGCCTACTTTCTTTGGGTAATGCTGCTTTAGTCTGCATGCTTTGTGATCTGCAGAGGCTTGTTTAGGCTACAGAGAGGGAACTGAAGTCAGAGAAACAACAGAAGTCAAAAAGGTTGGAACTGAAGAATAAGCTAAAGTCGGCTCAGAGGAAAGTGTATTTCGTTATGTGTTGGGTTCACGTGCATCCAGGAGAAGCTTGGTCTTCCTTAGCGGCCATTGTGAAGGCAGAAAAGGGTTCAGCTATGGAATACAGAGGCAGTAAAATAAGTACTTTGAGGATGGAGGATAAAGTGGAAAGCAAGGGCAAGCCTTTGATTAAGGAACTTCAGTGAGTTGCAATGTCCTATGATTCTCCATTTTCTTGCTTCCATTTTTGCTTCTTTCTTTCCTTCTAATTGAACTGTTTTGCCGGTGAATGAATCTAGTACGAAAACATGTAAATGTGTTGTAGATTTTGTTTCTACTCCTTGCAGATTATGAATTGATGAATTTATACAGCTAAAGTATTGGTACAAACTTTTGTTCTGCTTAGTTTGGTGGGGTTATTAACTTATTATGCCTTTAAGATGTAGTCCTCGGCCTTGGTGAATTCCTCCTTACCCCAATGAAGGCGGAGAATTGTTTGTGTTTCAAGTTTGTGCGAACATCTTTTATAAGGAAAATGGTTGAACTCACAACTAATCTAATCCAATGATTGCATTGAAGCCACATCATTAGATCTTTAAATAAAGTCTTCAAATAAGGTCTCTATAACATTGCTCCTTTTTATAATATATTGCTCTGCTGATGTGAAGATGACCTTCAAACAACAATTGATATGACTTTTGGATCAAGGAAATATAAAGTATTTGAATGTTATCCTGGATTCTCGTATTCATATTCAGAATTTGGACATTTAATCAAGTGAATTATTGAATTTTTGTTATCCTTAACATTAATTTTCAGTAAAAAACTGAGAAGGGCAAATAGACAAAATTGTAGGCTCAACAAGATTGCTACAATTGGGTTCAAAAATACATAAAAGAAGATGTTGCGGCAATTATTGTGAGTGATTTTAAAAAAGAGAGATTTGTTCTATTTTTAGATTGAGTGTTTCATATATAAAATTTTCATTATACTACAATACAACCATAACATGCATAAATAAATTAATTTTACGTTGTGATATAAATAGATTTTTTTTTAATAAAATAAAATTTAATTAAAAATAATAAAATTTGTATTTACAATCTTGAGATCCAAGAATAAAAACGTGACTATTAAACTAACCTCTAGCTTCTTCTGTCGTGGGACATGAAATGCCGTCGGTGCGATGGTGCTAAGCAGCTAATGTTTGAAAACCATTACATGGCAGTCTCGTTATTTCTATGGTAATTACGGACATTTCCGTCAATCAATTCAGATTTACTACCTGAACTGACCTGATCATTATCACCCGTTGTCGTCGTTAATCCACACTCCAACAATCCGTGTCTTTTGTTGGACATTTTCATCGAACGACTAGACAGCTAGAGAGAGAGTCTTCACTATCGTCGGAACCCTATTTCTTTGATTATCCATCCGCAAGACTCCAACTTTGTCGATATTTCAGAGAGAGAGAGAGTTGCATAGTACGGATATATAAATATGGTTGATGTGGCTGATAAAATAGCTTACTTTCAGGCAATCACAGGCCTCGAAGACCCTGATTTGTGTACAGATTCCTTTCTGCCCACAATTGGGACCTCGAACAAGCAATCTCAGCTTTCACTCGCACAAATTCATCAGATAATCCTCCAGCCGCCACTACCACCACCACCATGGCTGAGGTCGGAAGTAGCCGACTGTCGAATCCAAATACAAATCAAGAAGTCGAACGTTCCGGATTGATCACTGAAGGTACGGCACCACCTGGTTTGGCATGGAAGCTTGTAACCCTCCCGTTTTCTATCATTTCTGGTAGTCTAGGTTTAATTTCTGGTGCAATTGGGCTTGGATTGTGGGCGGCCGGTGGTGTTTTATCATATTCTTTAAGTAAGATTGGTCTTAACTCGGGACGGAATGGAGACCCTTCTTCTCCACTGGTTTCGGTTTCGGCCGCCGCATCAGAGGCGATGGATTTCGTGACGAAATTTGAGAGGGATTATGGGAGTACTGGTCCGAATTTCGTTCCTGAAGGGTTTATGGATGCTTTGCAGAGGTCTAGGCATGCTTTTAAGCTGTTATTTGTGTACCTACACTCGCCGGATCATCTAGATACACCGTTATTTTGTGAGAGGACTCTCTGTAATGAGGCTCTGGCGGCATTTGTGAACGAGAATTTTATTGCTTGGGGTGGGAACATTAGGGCTAGTGAGGGGTTCAAAATGAGTAATAGCTTGAAGGCTTCAAGGTATCCGTTTTGTGCTGTGGTCATGGCGGCCACGAACCAGAGAATTGCATTGCTTCAGCAGGTATAAATTAGGGGGTTTTGAGCTTTTGATCCTATTTTAGCACTATCCTTTCTTTTTACCATTTTTTGTGGGCAAGAACTTATCATTGGATATATCTCGCATGAAAAGTTGAGAATTTGAAAAGAAGGATTTCTTGGTGAAAAAAATTGGGAGTCCTTTTTGTGATATTGATTGCCCAGACATGTTAGATTTCTTTTTGTTGGACACCTTCAGGTAATCTCTGTCAGCTGCTGCACTGCCTGTTGGTGTTACTTTTTCATCTATTTGTTTATTTGTCTAGGTGCCGATTGTAGTACACCTCTCATTAAAAATTGCATATCGCATTGCGCATTCATTCATGTCTCAACCTGAAATTGAATAATGTGCCTACTTCTTTAAAGATAGAAGATTTACCACTGAAGATAACATTTAGTGGTTCAAACTGTTTCTCTTTATGCCAATGATTTATTGATCACAAACAATTTTGGAAGAGTTGGGCTTAAAGCTAAAGGCAATGTTTCTATGTGTAAGATGGTGGCAAAAATATTTCCTTTTAACATAATCAGTCATTGTGCTTGTACTAACATAGACATTTGTTTGCTCTGATCTCGTTTATGGACGAAAGATGATCTAGAATTAGTTGTTAGGATGGAGATGCTAGGCTGCTAGCTAATTCATTTGCCGAATTTTTAGGGTCACCCCCATAGATTGGTATTCAACTTTGCCATATAAGGATCCATTGTGCATATGGGTAAAGTTATTTCTTGTGGCAAGCTTTGGATATGAAAATCTGGTGATCAAATGCATTTTAGGATGTTTTGACTAAGTGTCCGGGCATGCGCTGGAGCTAAATTAAAAGTAGTTGGTTGTGATGTCATACTTGATACTTGTCAGCAAAAGTTGTCAAAACATGTATCATTTTCAAAAATAGTGTATTATGTGTCGTAACATATCGTGTATTGTATATTATTGAAAAAAAACGTATCAGGTATTGAAAGATACACCCAATTTAAAAAATTTATACACACATCCCCCCCAAAAAAAATATATGTGTGTGTTTGAAGTAATATAAATATTATTCCAACTCACTCATCATTTATGTGATGTGTTTGTCCAATAGAGATAAAAAGGGAGACAATTGTTTGTCTTCACAACAGAATCAAAATATAATTATGGTTTTGTCTTTCTAAATAAGAAGAAAAAAATAAGATGCTGGAGAAGCAAAAGATGGTT